AAGGTGAAGAAGGGCTGGACGATCGAGACCTTCCTCAACAAGTGCCGCGAGCAGGTCAAGGAGCTGCGCAACTGCTCCCCGGGCGACCTGATGTACGTCAAGGAGGACCTGATCCTGCCCCACTCGACCTCGTTCTACGACCTTATCGTCAACAAGGCACGCCTGCGGCAGAGAGTCGGGACCCGCCAGCCGCGTCGTGTCCGCGACAAGTCGTCCTCTCCGCGACACGTCCCGTAGGCGCGAGGCAAGTCGGGGCCTCTCTTCCAGTTCGACGTGCACGACGACGTGCGGCTGGGGCCTGTGGACTCGCGGGTGGAGAAGGACGAGAGCCACGCGGGCAAGGTGATGGAGAAGCGGCTGTACGAGCGGAATAAGGAGAAGTTCCCGTACTCGCGCTTCGAGGTGTACGACCCGACGAAGAGGTTCGACACATACACGGTGCACGGCTCGGAGACGTTTGGCGAGGGGGTCGACACAGGCGGCGTGGGCATCCTCAGGCCCGAGCGATGAGAGTGACGGTGCGGTGCACCTAGGACGGCGACCGCCTCCACTGTGAACCACTTTTGATGCCTAATCTCAAAGTATAGCCAGGGGGGATACCCGTAGCCCCCAAAGTGAACTGCCTGATCGACTCCCCGGCACACGGCGGAGGAGGAGGAAGACAGCACAACCCAGGGCGGGAAGAGCACAATGCTCAGGGTGGGACAAAACACCGACAGACGAGAGAAGAGGCCACAAAACAGACAAGCAGAATGGCAAGAGAGAGACGCTCTGCAGGCGAGCCCACGGGCCTCTTGGGCCCTCGCGTCTCTCTCTCTCGATTCGTTACACCGATTCGACCATCAATGCGGCGGGCCGATTTCGACCCATCACAAATGTGGGAAGCCATTAACCTCCCTTGGCTTCCCACACAAACCCCCCTTCATGGGGCGAGCAGCAAATGAGGTAGTCTCTGCGAAATCCTGTCCCAGTGAATTCGCCCTAGAGGCTTCCGTGTGGACTCGCAGCTCCGGCTGGATGTCGGCGACCTAAAGCTCGGCGGTCGTCGCTTCGCGCCGGCCGACTCCCTGTAGGACGGCGACCGCCTCCACTGTGAACCACTTTTGATGCCTAATCTCAAAGTATAGCCAGGGGGGATACCCGTAGCCCCCAAAGTGAACTGCCTGATCGACTCCCCGGCACACGGCGGAGGAGGAGGAAGACAGCACAACCCCATCGCCAATCCTGTCGAGGTCGATCCACCATCTCGCGCGTGAATCGGCCGCGACCTCCACCTCGAGGCGAGGGCCCACCCTTGTGTCGAGTGCCCCTCCAATAGCTCAGTAGAAGCGCGACGTGTTCTACGGCCGCGACCATCACCATCGTAGGTCCTTGCACTGCGACTGCGCCACCGGCCAAGCTCCAGTGCGGTTGACCCCCATCCAGGAACTGCCCGACGATAGGGCTGTCGCCTCATCCATGCCGCTGACCGCGCCCAGCAGCGGGTGCTCGCCGCTGTCCACGGACGCGGCTCGTCAGGCGGCGCGGTGCCGCCGGCTGCAGCGACGGCTGTCCCGGCCGTCGCGTCCTCGAGAGAGGCGAGCGAGCCGGCAGCAGAGCCCGCATGGTCCTCACCGCCACAGCCGCTCTGCCTGCTGACCTCGCTCTCGCCGCCGCCGCCTGCAGCGGCGCCTCCGCGGGTCCGAGAGGACCCGGCCCGCGGCCGCGCCTCGGCGAGCGCCTCGTCGACGCCCTCGGCGACGCCTCCTCGCGTCGCGTGCCCGTGCGTGGCGACCGCTCCGCCGGCAGAGCTCGAGTGGCCCTCCACGCCACCCCGAGACTGCCCTGTGATGGTGCCTCCGACCGCC